ACAAAGTTCAGAGCTTCCATATCAAAGAAAAAATACTGCAAGTATCCAGAAAGAAACAGTTCAAGTACCAGGATCATATGAGACCTACAGCATCAGTATGTCAGCCCATACCAGCTTGCAAGAGCCAAATGTAAAAAAAAAAAAAGGCTCAGAAATTTTGCAAGCTAACAGTTATTAAACAGTCATTATTAAAATTAAATTCTATACATTTGAAATTAGATGAAAATAAAAACTGAGATAATATTCAAAATTCATCACTTTCTATTTATTTTGCTACATCCCAGTATTTCCTAGGTTCTTGAGGTTACTCACATCTATTGCATCTGTATGGCAGAAATACCTTGTAATGATTATCTGAAAATTAGGATGATTACAATACATATAAACACAATATTTAGGTTGGGGCTACCTTACCGTATGAAGTCAAGTTTAATCTGCTCTCTTTGGACATAGTACTCTTAAAGACAGTTCTCTAAGCAGAGACTGACCTTTAGCTCATGGTTACAGCATAAAATAATCTATGTTTTCCATCATCCCAACTGGACTGATGCAATGATTTTTGTCTGAAACTACTCCCACAATTCACTTGGAAACCCATCCTGAGGCAGGGACACAAGAGCCTATCTGTCTGGGTATTGTCCTCGATTATTTTTTCTCTTTTTGTCCATGGTACGTTATTTGGGATTTGAAGAGAAAAAACAAAACCCAAACCCAATCCACCAATACAGAAGTTATAACCAGTTCTGGTTAGCGGGTAACAGCATTTGGCACATGCCATCAGAGCTCCACTAGATGGCATCCATACACTTCTTATTAGCTTCCAAAAACATTTGTTTTCCAGGAATGTTTCCTTCTATGGAATCAGGGATCTTTGAGACATCCTTAAAATCTGGGGCAATGGCTGCCTTAGAACATCCTGTGAAGGGGAGTTTCAAACATGACCACTTCTTTTTTCGGAAAAAAGAAAGAAGCACAGACTTCCTGGACAAACACAAACAAAATGATATTGCCTAATGATCTTTTTTCCAGTTCTAACCATTTACAAATACTAGATAGAAATGTTCTGTGTCACTATGTATGATTTGCTTCAAATGCAGTATAATTTAAGGGAAACTGAAAGACAGAATTGCAACAGATAGAATAGCTAGGAGTGGAGTCAGGAAGACCTGAGTTCAAATATGACCTCAGACACTTACCAGCTGTGTGACCCTGGGCAAGTCATTTAACCACTGCCTACTTCAGTTTCCTCAGCTATAAAATGGGAATAGTAACACCACCTTCCTCCCAGGGTTATTGTGAGGATCAAATGAGATCATATTTGTAGGGTACTTAGCACAGAGCCTGGCACACAGTAGATACTTAAATACTAATTTCCGTCTCCTTCCCCACTAAAATTTAAAGTCAGCATGCAATGGATAGAGTCCTGGATTTGGAATCAAGGAACCTGGGTTCAGATCCCCTTCTGCCACTAACTGTTTATTGTCAGTCAATAAATATTTATTAAGTGCCTACTATGTGTTAGGCACTGTGCTAAGCACTAGGGACACAAAGAATGGAAAAAGACAGTCCCTACCCTCAAGGAACTCATACTTCAACGGGGGAAGACAACAAATAAAAAGGACCATGGGGTCATTTAATCTTCAAAGTGCCTCAGTGTCCTCATCTATACGTAAGGGATTGCGTGCTTCACGTGAGCAATCAGCCAAGTAGACTCAGAGTAGCTTGACACAAAGTCTCCCCTCTCCTGAGGCCATGAGGTTGAGGACACGTGCAGTCACCACATTCCTCAGTCACTGCCTCTCCAGGATTAGGTTCAGGCACTCAGAATCCAGGAACTCTCCCACCCCTAGCGGCTGCCATATATTGGACAGAGAAGCTACCATATTGGAATGAGGTGCTAATGCTCATTTGGTCCCTGGGGGGCTCCACAGATGTATAGGCACTCCTAACCCCACCAGTGACTAATAATATTCACTCTTAGGTTTCCAGACTATGCTCAGAAAAGGGGAAAGGGGAAATGGGGCAAAAAAGATGACTGGTCAGTACAAAGGGGTGCCCTTACCCACAACAGTCATGGCTACATTCAATGCCACTGGATATGATACAACCAAAGTCTTAAGGAAAGTTCCATTGCCCTGAAAGCTCATCAAGGTGACCAGAGAACTCCCCTAATCAACCCTCTACTTATGCTGTGTCTCTTTGTCCTCACAACAACTATATGGAGTACTTAAAAAAAATAGTTCTAGGGTTTCATTTGATGTAGGGGACTACCAGTGAAGAACTTACTTTACCAATGAAGATCAGCATCTTTGCTGCAATGTATAATCTTAAAGGGCTGCCTGGGCCATTGAGAGGTAAGTGACTTACATAGGGTTACATAGCTAATATGTATTATAGTAGGACTTGAATCCAGGTCTTCTTGACTGCAGCAGCAATCAATTCACCAGACCATACCTCAAAAGCTTATGGAAGTACATGTTGAAAACTAAAAATAAATTAATTCATTAAAAAAATAAAGTACTAAAAAAAAAAAAGACTAGAGGAGGTGAATGATATAATTCAGGAGAGCTCTTGTATCCCTATTTACATTTCTCCAAAATTGTTAGATCTAGGTCAACCAAGCCAAGAGGGTTTTTGAGACTCCTATCCTCAGTAGTATGGTACTTTGGGGAGGGCCATGTGAAAAAGACAATAATGGTGGGTTGTATCTAACAGGAGATAGGACATAATATGGTTACAAGAGTACTATACTTGGTGTCAGGTAGACCCTGGGTTAGAATACTGCTTCTGACACACCCTACTTGAGTGACCATGAGCAGCTTACTTAACTTCTCTGAGCCTCAGTTTCCTCATCTGAAAAAAGAGGGATTGGGGGCAGCCAGGTGGCACACTGGATAGAGCACTGGCCCTGGATTCAGGAGAACCTGAGTTCAAATCCAGCCTCAGACACATAACACTTACTAGCCATGTGACCCTGGGCAAGTCACTTAACCCTCATTGTCAAAAAAAAAAGAGGGATAAAACATTCACTTCCATAAGCTTTTGAGTTTTAAATTTTATCCCCCTCCTTCCCTACCTCCCTCCCCAAAACAGCGTGCAATTTGATATAGGCTCTACATATACATTCCTGTTAAACATATTTTCACATTAGTCATATTGTAAAGAAGAATTAGAACCAATAGGAGGAACCACAAGAAAGAAGAAAAAAAATAAAACAGACGAAAAAAAGAAGCAAACAGTATGCTTCAATCTGCATTCAAACTCCGTAGTTCTTTCTCTGGATGTGGGGCAGCATTTTCCACCCCCTCTAGTGTTAAATGACACTCCAGCTGCCTAATGCCAGTGAAGCCCAAAGGTCAGAGTTGACTGTGGCCCTTGCTGTGAAACTAAGTTGTGTGTTTCTGTGACAATGGCTTCCGTTGACTATTATCTTTATTGAAAATTGTGATCCTTCTAGGATGTCAAATTTTTAGAGTCTGAGGCTCTTGCCATGGCTTATTTAGAACTGCTTCTGTGTGTGCAATGCAGAGATACTTGTGAAGAGCTTACTTAGGCTGTAGACTCTGCACTGGTCCTCCGAGGGGGAAGTTGCACTGACTGCCTAGTGCACCTGCGTGGGAAGGAGGGTGGCCTCTGGTCGTGCTGCAGTTTTCCCTGCTCACCCTGGCTTTCAGCTGCGGTCTCCAACTCTTCCGGCCGGTTGCGGTTTGAGGCTGCGTGAGAGAAGGATCGGTTACAGTTGTTAGCCTAAGCAACAATTCGTGGTATTTACTGCCTTGGCTGGTACGTTGTGAAACCTGTCTCGTTCGCTTGCTGCTGTGTAGTGAGGCACAGGCTACTTTGCTCCTATGTTTCCTGGAGCTCAGCCCCGCGCCTTGTCTATCCCAGAGCCTGCTCTGGGGGACTTGCAGCCCCCTAGGCAGCCAGAGAATTCTAGATGGGCATCTGAGCTGCTCTAAACTGACCTTAGAGGTCATTGAGGGCTTTCTCACCTTACAGCTGTCATCTGGCTTGCCCAAGGACACAGCTAGTGAGCGACGGAGCTTTGACTTGCTTTCGAGGCAAGTCAACAAGCATTTATTAAGCACCTGAGGGATACAAAGAAAGACTACCCCCCCAAATAATAAAAGCAAAGCGCCCTGCCTTCAAGGCGTTCACAGTCTAATGGGGGAGACGGGGAGCGAAGAATTAGGTAGAAACAAATATATACTAGACTAAAAATCTTAGCGTAGTTTAAAGCTGCTAATAGCCTGGGGACCGGTATGCCCTGTATAGAGTAAATTAGAAGCAATCTCAATGGGAAGGCACTGTATTAAGGGAAAACGGGGAAAGGCTTTCTGCGGGAGGTGGGATTTAAAAGGAAGTGAATGATTTTAAACCCATTTGCTCTGAGTCACAGCCCCAGGGATACAACTTCCTTTCTTTTTCCCTTTCTTTTTTTTTGGCTTTAGGCAATTGGGGTTAAGTGACTTGCCCAGTGTCACACAGCTAGTAAGTGTCAGTATTTGGTCCGAGGCTGGATTTGAAATCGGGCCTCCTGATTTTAGGGCCGGCACACTATCCATTGCACCACCTAGCTGCCCCGCACCCCCTAGTTGCCCCCTTTATCCCTTTCTTGCTCTCTAGGTTTCTTTCTTCTCCAATTCCCTCCGGCTCCCCGACTTTCCCCTCTACCCCTCCACCCCCAGTCTTTTCAACTTCCCCCACGGAGGACCAGTGCAGAGTCTACAGCCTTCTCTCCGGGTCCTGACTCTGGAGGGCCAGAGTAGCTCGGGTCTGCCACCCTCGGCTGTCTTATGGGCGCTAGGGGTAAGGTGAAAAACAAAACCAAACCAAACCAAAAAAAAAGCCAAGATCACGGCCAAGATCGAGGTCATGGTAGCACCTCTGAGACCCTGCTTTCTTTCGCTACGGGGCCGGGAAGTTGGGGGGCATGCACATGCCCAGAAAAGGCGGGGAGGAAACTCGAGTGGGTGGGGTCAACTGAGAGCGAACGAAAGAACCAAGCAAAGAACAATCGGAATCTAGAACCTTTGCAGCTACTGCCTGGGCTCCTAGCAACGGCGTGCATCTAAACAGTTGACCATGGCTTTTGAGTTTCTTACCCGTAGGTTAGAACTGACCAGTCTCCGGAAGGAGGAAGCTCTAATGTATTTGGAAAAACATCGGCTCTTGGACTTGCTGGTCAACCTCACCAGCAGCCTCCTCTTTCATCGACCAGGTAAAGCAGTCCTGCTTTGTGCCCCGCTTTTCTTGGACTCGACACCCTTCTCCATCCATTCCTTGTTCATGCGTCGGTGAAGGGCCCCCTGGACCGTTATAACGATAGATTGGTGGTGTCAGTCAACATCAATTAGTAAGCGTTAACTAATTAATTATTAAGCGTTTATGCCAGGAACTGTGCTAAACTGGGGATGCAAAGGCAAAAAAAAAATAGTCCGTGCTCTCAAAGAGTTCATATTTTAAAGGTGGATACAACATGCAAATAATTAGGTACCTACAAGATGTATACAAACTAGAAGGAAAGTGATGTCAGAGAGAAAGACATTAGACAATCGGAAAAGGCCTCCTTTAGAGAAGCCAGGGAAACCCAGAGGTGAGGAAGTAGAGCATTCCAGCCCTCTGGGATATAGGCATAGAAATGGGAGAAGCAGTGTCATGTCCAAGAGACTGAAGGTTGGTCAGTGTCCTTAGATCATAGAAACCAGTTTTCCTGTAGTGAAGTTCAAAAAGACTGGAAAGGTGTGGTGGCTGGGATTCAGAGATGTAGGTTCTAGTCGAGGCTCTGCTTCCAGTCAGTTCTATGACTGTGAGTTATTCATTTCACTTACCTGTGCATACTGCAAACTTCAGCCCTCACCCTTCTTGATCTCTTTTCAGCTTTTGACACTTTCTTCTCCTGGATACTCTCTCCTCTTTAGGTATTTGTGACACACATTCTCTCTTCTTTCTCCTACCTGTCTGATCGCCCCCCTTTCAGGTTCCTTTTTTGAATCTTCCAGTCATATTTCACCAACAATGGGTGTCCTTTTAGATTCTGTCCTGGGTCCTCATTTCTTCCCCCTCTTCCCTCCCTTGCTTGGTGATTTCATCGAGTTCAATTATAACCTCTATGCCCAGATTTTTTAATGTGTGTGTGTGTGTGTGTGTGTGTGTGTGTGTGCGCGTATATATGTATATATATGTATATATACACAGACTAACTATTTTCCTGACCTCTAGTCCCAATCACCAACTGTTTTTTGGACATTTTGAACTGCATGCTCTGTAGACATCTCAAACTCAACATATGCAAAACAGAAATCATTTCCTTTCCCTCAAAACTCCTCCCTTCCTAACTTCCCTATCATCTTGGTTGTTGTTCAGTAGTTCTTCAGTCATATCCAACTCTTCATAACCTCATTTGGGGTTTTCTTGGCAAAGATACTGGAGTAGTTTGCCATTTCCTTCTCCAGCTCACTTTACAGATGAGGAAATTGAGGCAAACAGGATTAAGTGACTTGCCCAGGGTCATCTAGCTACAAAGTGTCTGAGGCTGGATTTGAACTCAGGAGGATGAGTCTTCCTGATTCCAAGCCCAGTGCCCTATCTACTGTTCCACCTCCTAGTCACTAGCCTCACAGCTTTGGTATCATTTGAAACACAAAGTTAGAAGGGCAAAGTAACATGGATGACAGAACCAGAATACAGCAAGTTTTCAATAGCCTGGAAATATGAGAATAAGATAAAATTTTATAGAGATAAATGATAAGTTCTGCAGTTGGGTGAAAAAAAAAATCAGCTTCATAGGGACACCAGATAGGATAGCCATGGATAGACACAATCCAGTGAAAAAGATCTGTAGGTTTTAGTGGACTGCAAGCTCAATAGAAACCAATAAGATGACAACCAATGGGCTATATTGAAAGATGTATATACAAAACAAATAAGGCAACAGCTTTATTATGTTCTTCTCTGTCAAACAATGTCAAAGAACACTGTTCAGTTGTACGCAGTAACAGCAATACTGTGTGATGATCAACTTTGATAGACTTAGTTCTTTTCAGCAATACAAGGATCTAAGACAATTCCAAAAGACTTATGATGGAAAATATTATCCACATCCAAAGAAAGAACTATGGAGTCTGAATGAAGTTCGAAGCATACTATTTTCACCTTGTTTTGTTTTGTTTTTTCTTTCTCTTGGTTTTTCCCTTTTTTCTGATTCTTCTTTTATAACATGACTAATGTGGAAATATGTTTAACATGATTATACATGTATAGTCTATATCAGATTGCTTGCCACCTTGGGGTGGGGGGGAGAGGAAGGGAGAAAAAAATTTGGAACTCAAAATCTTATAAAAGTGAATGTTGAAAAAAAAAAGAATGCATTGTTCAGTTCTGAGCAACTTTTAGTAAGTTTTAGGAAGAATACAAACAAGCTGGAATGCTTCAAGAAGGGGGCAACCAAGATCGTAAGAGAACTGGAAAACATGCCGTACAACAGTGGTGTCAAATTCAAATAGAAACAGGAGCCATTTACCGTATGCAATGTATATGGTAAGTACAAGACTCTGTGGGCCTCATATTGATTTAGAAAAGCACATAGTAATATTATCTATGCTTTATTGTACCTTTATTTATTTTGTTAATATTTGCTGATTACATTTTAATATGGTTTCAGCCACATTCAGGAGTATTTGTGGGCTGCATGTGACCTGTGGGCAACATGCTTGACACCTCTGTTAGAAACCTCAGTTTGGGGAAGTGTTTTTTTCCTGGCGAAGAAAAGCTTGGGAAGCACCATGACAGAACCTCAGATATTAGAGGCCTGCTGTTTGGAACAAAGATTAAATTTATTCCCATTGGTCCCCTGGGTAGAAATATGAACAAGGATTGGAAGTTGCAGGAAGTCAGATTTAAGCTTGATATACAGAAAATCTTTCTAACAATGAGAGTTGACCAGAAGGTCAGAGATGTCTCAGGAAGTGCTAGTGGATCCCTGATGACCTTACTCTTCAAGGACCAGTTAGATGACTCACTTGGGACTGTGGTAATTGTGGTACTTGTTCAGGTTTAGGTTAAACTAGACAAGCTTCTGAGGTCTGCTCCAAAGCTTAGGTCCTGTGATTCCGGGAAGGTTTCTTCTGTACAATTGAGACCTTACAACAGGCAATTATGGCTTAATGTAATAAAGTATCATGAAGTTTTTTACATTATCTGTTTTGATAGTTATGTTTCTTGTCTTATTGTTACAAGAAAGAAAAGAAGATACACCTAAACAGTTTGCCATGTGTTTCTTCTGTAAGCCACCATTTTTTGCACTTGACTTAGCCTTGTTTCATATTTCACTGAAAAAATTGAGGCCATTTGCCATAAGCTCCGTCTTCTCTCAAGTTATTCCACTTGGCAACTTCAACAACTCTTAGGAACTTAATTATTATCTCTATGCAGATGATTCTCAAATATATTTATCCAGCTCTAACACCTCTCCTGAGCTCCAGCTTCACATCAACTTTACATCACATTAAGCATCTCAAACTGGAGATCACTTAAATTTAAGTATCTAAAACTGAGCTTTTATCTTTCCCCAAAAACCTTTCTATTTTCCCTAACTTTGAAGGCACTGCCATCACCTCTATTATCCAGGTTTGCAAAATAGATGTCATCCCTGACTCCTCACTCTCTCTCATGCTCCATTATCCAGTCTCTTGCCAAGTCCTGTAAATTCTACTAAATTCTGCTTTCACAGCATCTCTCATCTTCCACACCTCCTCTGAGACTGCCACCACCCTGGTCCAGGCCTTCAATCACTTTGTGCCTGGATTATTGCAGCATCCTTTTGGTTTATTTCCCTATCTCTCAAGTTTCTTCCCACTCTAGTTCGTCATCCATTCACCTGTCAAATATATCTTCTGGGGCAGCTAGGTGGTGCACTGGATAGAGCACTGGCCTGGAGTCAGGAGGACCTGAGTTCAAATATGGCCTCAGACACATAACACTTAGTAGCTATGTGACCCTGGGCAAGTCACTTAACCTCAATAGCCTCACCAAAAAATGAAACAAAATAAAACAAAAACAAAACAAAACAAATATATCTTCCTTAAGTACAAGTCTAACCATGTCACACTACTTCTGTCCCCCTCATTCAATAAACTCCAGTGGTTCTTTGTTACCTCCAGGATCAAATATGAAATCTTCTTTTTGGCTTTTATATCTCTACACAACCCGTCCTACCTTTCCAGTCTTCTCATACCTTTCTCCTGTCCAAATAATCTGCAATCTAGTGACTCTGGCATCCTTGCTGTTCCTCCCATCTTGGTGCATTTTCACTGACTATCCCTAATGCCTGGAATTTTCTCCATCATTGCTACCTCTTAAATTTTACCAGCTTCCTTCAAGTCTCAACTAAAATCTTATCTTCTCCAAGAAACCTTTCCTGGTCCCCTTTAGTGCTAGTTTCTTCTTTCTGAAATTATCTCCTATTTATCCTTTATACATCTTATTTGTACGTAGTGGTTTGCATGCTGTCTTCCCCATTACAGTGTGAGCTTCTCTGAAGGCTGTTTTTGCTTTTCTTTTTATCACTAGTTCTTACCACATTGCTTGCTAGCAGGCTCTTAATAAATGATTGTTGTTGACTCTTGGGAGCCTGAGAAGGAGGAGAAATTCCCTTTCCCCCTACTGCTGGTCTGAAAGTACAAGGGAGAGAGAATACAGGAAAAGCAAGGGGTCCAGCCAGTTCACAGCTCAGTGTTATAGTGAAAAGGACAAAGGGTAAGTCTTTCAATAAGAATCTGTTGTTCCTCCCCATCTCCATCCTCTTCATCTTGGAAGCATTCCCAATCATTGGGGACCAGTCAGAGATCAGAGTTTCCTCTGTGTGTGTGTGTGTACACCTCCTTAGAAGGTGCCCTTCAGACAAATGTACAAACCCTATAGTCTCATTAAGTTGATTTGGGAACTCATCAAATTGATGAGGGGCTCCCCTGATCATTCCCTTTACACATAAAGTAAGGAGATCAAACCAGATTATCTTTAAGGTCATTTCCAGCTTTAACATTTAATGACTCAAATGTATACCAACAATTCTGCTTTGAAAATAAATGGAAAATTCCTTAAGTTGAAGCAATTAAAAAGATTTTCTTTAAAAATTTAATCAGCAAAAAATGGAAATTTTTTAATGTATTCTGATAAAAAGCATCACCTTCAGGTTTCTTTTTTCCATTTTAATATATAAAC